GCCTGCTCAACGCCACGCACCAGGTCGGCTGCCAGTGTGAGTACGGCCCCTCGCTGCTCCTTTTCCTGGCGCCTTTTAGCCAAAAGCGCCGCTTCGCCGCGCTCCTCCCCTCCGTTCTGCAAGCTGCCCTGCTCTTGGCCTCCTTCCCGCTCGGCTTTCCGCGCTCGTTTCCATCGTTGGCCTCCGCTCTCTCTCCGCAGCCTCCATCAGCGGCGACACGGGGGTGATCCACGTGGTGGACAAGGAGGAGGACCTGAGGTGGGTGCTCACGGACGGCCCCCACCCACCCTACATGATCCTGCTCGACGGGAGCCTTTTCAACAGGTAAGACCCCATTGCCCCTTTCCACCGTCCCAAATGAGCCCCGAGGACATGAGGGGCCCCAATATGAAGTTGCTTTTCAAACGCCACATGGTTAATGAGCCCTGAGAGCACCAGCGTGCAGGAAAGTTGGAGAGTTTTCGCCGTGTCTTAGCGCTTAGATCAGTTTCTCTCTCCCAAAATGGGCAATTTGGTTCCTTAAATCCAAGAGTTCTTCCCTGTGTAACTTCTGCTGCTCTGGTGTCCCTTGTACCTCATTCAATGAGCTCGTTCCCATCTGTCTCGTGCCCTTTGGGACAGGGGTGAAGTGATTGGGATTTTTTTGCTTGTTGATATTATGCACAATCATATGGATTCTTGAGAGGACTGGGGGAAAGGGGACCAGTTTTGATCCAAAGCACCAAGGGATGCTCAACTGCATCTGTAGCGTGTTTGGGATTGAAACTTTTGGTTAACTTTGGGTTAGGAAAGACAAGTTTGTGCTCCTCTGTGCCCTGTTCCAGGAGGGTGCTGCTGCAGCTCAAGGGAACCTCCCGCGTTTCAGGCCTTGCCGTAGCCGCTGCTAAACCCAGCCCTCCCCAAGGCTTCTCCCCTGGTTTGCAGTGCCCCAACGACGGGTTTGGTAAGGCATTACGTTATGAAAATGTTTACCTGGACACTGATTTGTTGCAAGTTTGATTTTCTTGAACATATGAGATGTGTACTTTGTCCATGCTTGGTCATTAAAGCCTCTTGTGTTTGTACAGGTTGGGTGGAGCTCAGAAATTGCACCTTGTTATTTCTCACACATTCCAATTTACCCATTTCTTCGCTTTTCCAGGTGTCTATTCCAAAGATTATGGCCCTCAGTACGCGCACTGCAATAGCACGGTGTGGAATCCCGTGGGCAGTGGGCTTTCCTACGAGGATTTTGACTTCCCTATTTTCCTCCTTGAGGATGCCAACGAGACTCAAGTTATTAAGCAGGTACTGCACTTTGCAGGCAAGTGGGAGAGGGGATCTGCACGTGGCCTGAGAAAGGGGGATGAATTGCAGGGCCAGTGCTGCTACAGAAACATTAAATTTTATAATAATTTCTCTTTCTTCCAGTGCTATCAGGACCATAACGTCCCCCGTGACGGGGCTGGCCCGGAGTACCCCCTGTGTGCTATGCAGCTCTTCTCCCACATGCACGCTGTCACCAGCACTGTCACCTGCATGCGGCGCAGCTCCATCCAAAGCACCTTCAGCCTTAATCCAGGTGAGCAGGTCCCCCTTTGGGGGATAAGGCCAGCAGGAAAAAGGGGGAATAGTAAGAAAATGGCCCCGCTGTTGTAGTCCCAGTTCTTGAGCTGCTTTTGCTTCCTAGAGGTGGTGTGTGATCCTCTTCTCGACTACAACGTGTGGAGCACCCTGCACCCCATCAATTCCTCTGGAAAAGTCGACCCTGACAAAGAAGTCATTATTGTTGCTACTCGAGTAGGTACCTGTTAACGTTGCTCTGGGATGCTGGGAGAATGGAATCTTCCCTTGCTGGAAGATACCTTCCTAAATATTTTAATTTCCTTCCATTTTTTCAGACTTTGCTTTACATCTGATTGTCTCGTTCTGCGAGTAGGTCCCTTTTAGAGGGTAGAGCCTATTATTTCAGCATAAGAACATCTGGGTTTTAATTCTGCTTGTCTTGCTACATGACTTAGGGCGTTTCTTCAGTGATGCCAAACCTTTGAGGAACCAGACAAGTAGAAATAGTTAACATTTCCGCTTATGCTTTTTAAGATTTTACATTTCATTAAGCTTTGGTTCTTTTTTTCACCAACGGGGCGAGTTGTGAGGTGGGCAGAGGCTGCGGATTTGGCTTTGCCAGTGAAGTGCTGGGTTCTGATTCCTCACGGCCTGCCTGGGTGTTTCTTGCCCCTGCTTTTCGTGCTTGCAGATCGACAGCCACTCCTTCTTCTGGAACATTGCCCCGGGGGCAGAGAGCGCCGTCTCGTCCTTCGTGACCCACTTGGCCGCTGCTGAAGCCCTTCACAAAGCGCCCGACGTGCAGCTGCTGCGGAGGAACGTCATGTTCACCTTCTTCCAAGGGGTAAGAGCAGCAGGAGCGTCGCTCCACCGTTTGGCTTATTCCAAGGCAGCGCATCCATCCTCGGCTCCCTGCAAACAAACTTTCTGCAAGCCTTTCTGCAAGGTCGTCGTTGACGTCCCCATACCCTGGTTCTCTCCACTTACTTGGGGAGAACAAGATTCCAGCTGCTCTGGGATAGCAGGAGCGGATGGGGATTCTGCTCGGGCACCCTGTTTCCTGCCCCCCAGCTCATTCTGGGCGAGTGACACAAACTTTCCTTTCGCTCCTCTCTCCGCAGTCCCTTGATCTGTTTGTTTTCTGCCTCACCCCTGTGCAGGGGGGAACGCAGCAGCTACACTCCACATCCTGACACAAAGCCCAGAAAAGACTAGATTAAAATTATATGTGTTGACAGCAGTGAAATGCAGCTCACTTCGGAGAGCCCAGCGCTGGCGTTGGCAGCTGCGTTAAAGCAGAATAAGCTGCTGGAGGAGGGACTGATGGCCAACAGCTGATGTTCCCCTCAAGGCATCTCCACTGATGGCTGCTTTTGTGCAGCTCTGTGAAACTGGCTCCCACAGCCCCACGCTGTGGCCCTGTGACTTCCTCCCTTCACCCTCCCCAGCGCATCCGTAGCCCTGGTTGGAATTTCCCTGGGGGAGATGAGCGCAGTGCCGAGGCCTGGAGTCTCCGGCGCGCTCCCGGAACGTGGGAGGCATTGAGACCTGGCAGGAAATTAGTCCAGGGGGACATATAGAGGCTCCTGCTGTTACTCCCTTGCAGTATCCTGCGAGATATCAGTGCTCACTGAAACAAAGGTCTGACTTTGCCTCTGTATCTTTGTTGCTTGTGCAATTCATGGGCTGTCCCTGCGGTCCTGCTCTTTGCCTCCTCTTTTGTCCTTTTCTCCATCCCTGCCTGCAATCCCTCTGTTTCTCTCTGAGGTCTAACCCTCGCGTTGGTCCTTTAGCGGGTGCTGTAGGCACTTTCACACATAACTGATGCAGTTGTTGGCCATTGAGCTCCTGGTTCTGTTCTACGTCGGCCCCTCAAATCCTGCTCGTGGGTGAGCGAGGCAGCCACCTCGTGATTCCTGTGTGATTTTTTTCTTTTTTTTTTTCTGTTGCAGGAGACCTTTGATTACATTGGCAGCTCGCGTATGGTGTATGATATGGAGAAAGACAAGTTTCCTCTCCGCTTGAACAACATTCATTCATTTATAGAGTTGAATCAGGTGTGGGATGAGTTAGGGACTCTCTATTTCCTGTTGTCTTTGATACTATAAACGTGGCTTTTCCAGCCAGTCTTTTACTGGGTTTGACTTCTGCCTGTGCTGGGTTTCACGGTGGGCCTTTTCCTTGCAGGTGGCTCTAAGGAATGACTCTGTTCTGTGGATGCATACGGACCCCGTCTCTCGGAAGAATGAATCTATTCAAGGGCAGGTAATGGAGAGCAATCTGCGCCAGCCATGAGGCTGTCCAATCTTTAAAACAATCTTTAAACTTACCAGAGAAATGCCACTTCCAAAAGCATAGCAGAACCGTGCGTTTTCTCCTCTTTCCAGGTTGAAAACCTGCTACAAATCCTGAGCAACAGCAGCACAGGAGCAAATGTGACTTTGCAGGAGGTCGGATATTCCCAGCCTCTTCCCCCCTCCTCCTTCCAGCGCTTCCTTCGGGCCCAGCACATCCCGGGAGTGGTCCTGACCGACCACCGCGCGTCCTTCCACAACAGGTACCTGCCCGGAGCGGGAGGCCGCGCCGGCCGGGGCCGGTGGAGCCGGCGGAGGCTCCGGCTCCCCGCGGGCTCCGCGCGTGCGGAGCCGCCGTCCAGGGGGAGCCCAGGAGCCAACACGCGCCGTGTAATTGAACGGGCGCGACATAATTATTCTGACAACCGAAAGAAATCCAGTTTTGTACAGAAAATGTTCCCCACAGCTGGCTGGAAGCCAGAGGTGAGCAAATGGCAACTGAGCGTGCCTAAGCCTCATCTGTTCTTCCAGAAGCTGCTTTTTTTTTTTTTTCCTTTTTTTTTTTTTTTTTAATATGGCTTTCTATTTGTGGTGGCAAGGAGCCCCAGGTATAAGAAAGGGCACTTTCATTTACCCCACCTGACCCTACTGCAGTTTGTTCCATGGAGATCATCTCTTCCTCAACATTGAAAGTGGGAATGTGGGGTGGAAGATGGACAGATCCCCTTCATTTTCACACCCCTACACGTTATTCAAATTGTCTCTTTCATCTTCTATCCTATGCTGTTTCTGGGAATATTTGTTGGGATAAAGGAAGGGGGAAGGAGCTTCCTTTTCAGCTCCAGATCTGTCCTGAAAGGGCAGGAAAAAGCACAACCCCACTTGTGTGTGACCCATGTTTGGATTTGAGGGATGGGTCCCAGGTGGTCTGGGAATGTCAGGTGCATCTACCACGCACCAATTGGTTTCCAATCCAGCTGCGGCCGCTGCAGCTACGTTGATGTAAACCTCTCATTAACTTGACTTGGAATTCCTCCCCAACCTCGGGATTCCTCCCCGGGATAAGGCATCAGTCAAGTCCCCTGGCACGACCTGCATCATGAGCTCTCCTCTCCCAGGGCCTTGTGCTTGGGTTGTTGCTGCCTCAGTTTCTCTGCCCATTTAATAGATTGGGCTGTCGCCCACCTGAAAGCTAATCACAGCTTGTAAATTGCTGGGAGATCCTCAGATGGGAGAAGCTGTGGAAGGGCCAAGTTAATTATAAAGCCTCATTAAATGGTTTAAGGAGCGTGTGGCAGGGTAGTGCTTTGGCAGGGCTCTGCCTCTGCTCCCAGGAGACTGCTCCCACTGTTTGCTTTAGGCACGCTCTGAATTGAATTCCATGCCCTGTGGTTTTTTGTCCGCCCCTTCTCAGCTCTGTTTGCCTCCTTCTTTTCAGATACTACCAGAGCATGTACGACACTCCGGAGAACATCGGCGTGGAGTACCCTGAGGGGCTTAGCCCCGAGGAGACCCTGGAGTATGTCACAGACACAGCCAAGGTGCCTCCCCTGCGTTTGCTTTCGCTCTGGGATGGATGGGGCTTTGGGTAGGGGTGGACAGCGAGCAGGATCGTGGCAGAGGGGGACATCGGAGTGCCCTGTGTGGTGACAAAGGCAGCAGGCACTCGCACGCCAGCGCGGTGCGGGCGCTCTGATAGACGTGTCGGTTCTGGCTTGCTCTCCCTCCTTGTGCTGGATCTGCCTGTCTTGATTAACACAGAGCCCTCTTCCTTTGCAGTCCCTGGCAGAAGTTGCCACCGTGGTCGCCCGTGCTCTCTACCAGCTTGCAGGGGGAGCCAGCAACACCTCTGCTATTCAGGCAGATCCAAAAACGGTACGAGCAGATGGAATTGAGTCCCTGGCATCTCTGTTGAGCCCTCACGTACTTCCCTTCTGTCTCTGTTTATATGTGTTTACACAGCATGCTGTCCTGTCTGTCTCCGTGAGGCTTTGCCTCCCCCTTTCTCCCATTCCCCACCAAAGCCAAAGGAAAATGTTCCCCCCTTCTCTGCCACCATCCCGCTCGATCTCAGGGCATGCACTGAGATCCACAAACCTCTTCTAAAACAGAGCTCTCTCATTTCACAAAGCAGAAGAGGAAGCTGAGGCCGAAATGGCAATATGTGCCCCAGGGATCGGCCAAGGGGGCAGTGGAGCTGGAATTAAACCCAGTTTTCCCAATGCCTCCCTGTGTTGTATGCAGTTGCAAGATAGAGTGGTTCCTTTGCTGTGCTCTTGGCCTCTCAGCCAGATAATCCTGAGAGAGCCCCTGAGATGCTGTATTCTCTCCTCTTTGTATAAACCAATTTCCACCTCTTTCCAGGTCGCTCGAATGCTGTATGGGTTTCTCATTAAAATGAACAATTCCTGGTTTCAGTCCATCATTAAACCAGACCTAAAAGTAATTCTAGGTAAGTGTGATATAAGGAATAATTCAGGATTGGGCTTGACCCCATGTGTTACCTGGCGGCTTTCTAAAGTCCTGTAGAAATGTCATCTGCTTCTGGCCTTCCCACTGCCAATCCCAGTTCTGTACCTGTTCCAGGTGATGTTCCCCAACACTACGTAGCAGTTTCCAGCCCCGTGAACACTACCTACCTCGTGCAGTATGTGCTGGCCAACCTCACAGGCACCGTTGTCAACCTCACCAAGGAGGAGTGCTTGAACCCTGAAAAAACACCCAACACTGAGAAGGAAGTAAGTGGCCTTCGGAAGAGTGTAGCACATGGTAGATGAGGAAGGAACTGCTGTCTCACTTGCTGTTTTTCTGCTTTTGAAGAAATCTGGTTGAGAATCCTTTCCGTTCCCCATGATCCCCATGGGAGAACTGGGGAAACTCCTCCAATGAGGAGGCATTTTAATCCCCAAGGGCAGAGAAAGGGTGGGCAGACGGATCCCATTACAGCAAGAACAGCCAGTAAAGCCCCCTTTTCCCTAGAGATGCGTGTGGGGTTGCAGAGCAGGGCAGCTAGTGTAATAATTTGCAGGAGCTGCCCCCTCATGCCCCGTTTTCTTCGCAGATGTACGAGTACGCCTGGGTGCAGGGCTCTCTGGACCCTAACTCGACATCACGGGTGCCCTTCTGCGTCCGCTCCACCGTCCGCCTGAGCAAAGCCCTCTCTCCTGCCTTCGAGCTCAGGCAGTGGGGATCCACGGAGTACTCCACGTGGACAGAGAGCCGCTGGAAAGACATCCGTGCCCGGATATTTCTGGTAGCCAGCAAGGAGCTCGAGGTAAGCTTGTGCATATTTTAAAAAAGGAAGTATAGGAAGGAGCTCGAGGTAAGTTTGTACATACTTTAAAAAGGAAAGTAGAGGAAAGGAAAACGTGTGGTTAGGCAGAATCCATAGGGCACTGAATAACATCTGCCAGCTCGAGGAAGCGTTCGGAGGTTGTTAGGAGATCCTGTGCCATCGTCATCTGTGAGCTCCCCAACTAAGAACAGCCTGGCTTTGACCCTTGGGTCCAAGGGGGACACCCTTGAGAAAGGGGTGACAGGAATGTGTGGTCCCTTCCCACATCCAGCTCCTTGTGGGGTAACAACCTAGTCGGCCACGGCCAAGAATGCAGAGGAATCAGAGTCCAGACCGAGCTCTATGACTGGGTGTGATATAGCTTAAGTACCAGCAGAATAAGGATTAAGTTGACAGTGACTTTTGGACTGTGCCCTCGTGGCAACGATGTCACACCCCCTTTTCTGGAACTGGTACTGGCTCAACTTACTTCATCTAAGCAATGCCACTTTCTCCCCTCTAATAGATGAATTCCCTCAGTGATGAGATGTCCATCCAAAGCTTTGCATCAGAGACTCCCTTTCTCCCCAAATTCTGGGAGGTGATGCAGAGCTGTTGTCGTAACAAAAACATTAAGTGTCTCTCCTTCCTCCCTAGATGATCACTTTGGCCGTGGGCATCGTCATCCTCATCTTCTCTCTCCTCGCCACGTATTTTATCAACGCCAAAGCAGATGTGCTTTTTAGCCTCCCTCGGGACTCTGGGGCAGTGGCTTACTGAAGAGTCTAGGAAGTCCTTGGATTATTTTTGTCAAAGAGAAAACTACACTGGAACGCCCCTCTCTCCGGATAGGGACGCAAACGGTTCGCTCCAGAGCTTCCATGCTCAGGTTCTGGGGTCTGAGCCCCAAAACGCAAAAGACTTTCCCAGAAAACCAAGCTGACCAAGTGCCAGCGAGATTGTGACTGCCTAAGAAGTTCCCCAAAGTTCCCCAAAGTTCCCAAAATTACAATTTCTTTGTAATTTGTCCAGACTTCTGAGCAACTTGGGAGGACTGGTCCTGGATGCTACCAAGATGACAGTGCGATGGGTGTATCCCCGAGATGAGAGCGAGGTTGGAAAGCATAAAGGAATTTTTTTCTGGGATGTACGTGGACCGTCGGAGCTCTGTGGTGTCTGACAGTGCTGGTTGCCTGTTAATGTCAAACAGTTGCTGTGAATCTGTGTATACTACAATGCAGGGAGTGCAAGGTTTGTCAAACAGAGGCTTAGGTGTAAAATGTCCTTTTTTAAAGGTGCAATATTTCCTGGGTTTTATGTATATATATATTATATATATATATATTAGTTCCATTTAATTAAAAAAAAAAAAAAAACTCTGCTTACACATTAACCCATAGCCTGTATTGTCTTAGTTGCTGCCAAAAGGACCGAAAACACTGGGTCTTGCAAAATGCTCTGGGCTTGGGAGGATTGGAGCTTGTCTGATTTGTTTTTTTTTTTTTTAACTCCCAGTGAAACTTTTGAAACTTTCCAGGACTGGCTGAACAAAAGAGACTGTTCCCTTAGGCAGGACAGGGGCCTCGTTGGCTGTTCGAGTCCCCTGTTTAGACTGTAAGCCCCCCAAGGCCGAGGGTTGCCCTGTACAGGGTCACCCCCATCGTGGTTGTTCTAATAAACGTGTTTTCTAACGAGCGTGTTTGCACACTCTTGTTTGCTCTGCTGCTGCTGCACAGCACCCCGCAGGACTGACCCTGAGGACTGCCCGTCGTGATGGACCAGCCCGGGAGAAAGAAGCTCTCAAGGATCCAGATTCTCTCTGTTGTATGAAAGAAAGTTCCCTTGTTTGTCAGCAGTCCCGATTCCGAGAGGTAACAGTGGTAGCATCCAAAGTTAATGGTTCCAAACTAGGTGGGGAGGATTAACCATCGAAACCAGAGCTGGCCAGCACTAAACCACGCATCGCTTTCCTTAGAGTGCAATGCAGGTGAATTGTATTTAAGTCTTGTCTCAAAAACATGAGTTTCAAAGTAATTCAGGCTTTGCACTTTCACTGCTTCCCTTAGGGAAGCTTTTTCCACTTGCTAATGCATCTTGCTATCAGAACGCTGTTCCTGGTGCTTGGTGGGATGTTTCTATGCCTGGTATCCTGCCATTTCTCCTAGCAAGGCGGAAGAAAGTTTTATCTGAATTTACATGGAGACACCTTTACTCTATTATGAGAATTTTCACCCCTTTCCACACCAAACCTTGGAACTCATCCCAACTTTGTCAGAACAAAATCAGCCCCCCTGAATTATCCGAACAGAGTATTTGTGTGCATGCAGGTTTTCTGCAGGGTGCAGAAGGCTTGTGCTCTGCCATGGTTTTATGAATTGCATGAGGGGTTTTTGCTTCCCTAAGGTGAGTTTATTTAGCTTTATTTAGCAGAGAGATGCTGAGATCAGGGGTGACTCATCAATAAATTTTGTCAACATAGATGGAGCTCTCAGTTTTAAAATTAAAAAAACTTCCCCCCCACCATGACCCCTTCTTTGTGCTTCTCTGCTTGGTTGTGGTGGGGAGGACAGTATTTGTTTGCTTTTTTCTTTTCCCTTGAAGGCTTCACTTTGGATTATTTTTTCTCCTTGTTTTCTTTCTCCCTGGATTGCTGGATGCAGCTGGGAAGTGAAGGAGCTCCGAGAAGGGAGGCAGCAGCCCCAGCTTTCCTGTGTCCCTCCTCCAGGTGACAGTGACCCTTCCCTGTCCCCTTTTCATCTGGAGCGGCAGCCTCTCCACAACCTGTTTTCATGGGAATCAGGATGCTCCCTCGACCTTGAGGTGAACGGTACCTAAAATATGGAAGTGTTTTGTTGAGGTAGAGCAAATATTAGTGAAATGAGTCACTTTGTGTGACGTGGGGAATTAAATCCCCTTATACCAGCAATGAGACCACGCAAAAAAAGTCCTGTTCCAGCACACGAAGGGAGCAGGCGGGAGGGAATCTCGATCCCCCTGACCCATTTGGTCATTTATCCTCGCTCCTGTGCTCCGAACAAAGAGCTGACAGTGGATTTGGGAGTGCTCGTTCCTCTCCGCCGGGAGCAGGAAACCATTTGCTTCCTTTGTGCGCTGCTACCGCCTCGGCAGCCCCCGGGGAGCTGCTGTCTGCCGCTCCAAACCCAGGGCTAGTGCCTGATCCCAGGAAAGCTTCACTCCCAACACATCCTCTCCAGGCTGAGGACATTTATCCATGGGGAATGTTGCCAGTTTAAAAACGAAACGGGCTCGGCCCCGTGTTCCTCTTCCCTCCTAAATGCAGAAGCAGCCCCTGGGTTTGCAGCGAGCTGCCTCCGTTCCTGGTGTAACAGCAGCTGTCCTCAGCTGCTCGAGCCTTAAAGTTGATAACTCCCTTGATACACTTTTCCTCATCACTCCAGAGATTATGTGCATTAATTAGAGCATTCCTAATGCTAATAAGCAATGGAGAATAAGTGCCTTCTCGGTCCATGAATGTGGAAAGTAGTTTGAGGACTGGCATCTACATAGGTTTATTTTTATCTTTGCAACGAAAGCAAAGCTACGGAGTTCTGGGATGCAACCACATATGGAGGCTGCCAGTACAGCCTGGACCTTCACAGCCCTTCCAGGTGGGAATGAGAAGCACTTTCTTTCCAGCTCTCCTGTTTCTGCTCAGTGCTGTAGTGTCAGATAGCAGCACTGGGCGACAACGCGAAGCTGTTGGGGTGGCCTTCGTTGAGGTAGGCTGATGGAAAACAAGATAATTCCCCTGTTCAAAGCCTGTTGGCTTTGGTAATTAAGTAAGTTTGCATGGGAAATTATGCAAAACATGGAAAGCAAACAATTTTCCAGATCCGTGGTGCCTGGTCGGCTTTGAAACAGCTTCTCCTGGTGTGTTATCCCTGCTGCCTCTCGGCATAGGGGAGGGATATGGAGCAAGCAGTGTTTGCCCCTGGCTTCCATGCTCCTCTTCAGTGTGGGGGACTAAAGCTCCGGTCCAGCAAAGCCATCGAGTTCAGGCCCTGGGAAAAGGCCCTGTTGTGTTTCAGACTTTGGCTTGTTGCTTTGAAGCGCAAGTCCTTGAATTTCTTCCAGAAATTCTGCGTTTTGTAGGTGGGTTAAATCATGGCTGGTCTAACCAGTTCTTCCCGTTCCTCCAAGATGCTGGACGCCTTTGAGTCCTGTCCAAGCTCTTGGCAGCCCTGGCTGCTTTTGCAGGTCACTATTTCTGCTGGGTTAATGAGATAGAGGGTGGCATCTGCCAGGCCCCTGCACGTGCACCGGGAACGGCCTTTGGCTTCCCAAGGGGCTTCCTCTCCTGCCCTTGCTCGGTGGGTCGGGAATCACTTTCTCCATCACGAAGCGGAATTAGCCCAGCCTCGACCAAGGGAAACGGGAGGAGAGCGCGGCAGAGCAGCCAGGAGCAAATTCGCCCTCAAGAGACGGAGCAAGTTCGACCGGGGGGAATAAAGAAGTGATGCAACCGCGAGCAAGTCTTGGCACCGGATAAACACCGTGACGCCAGCGGGCGCCCGGGCGGCCGCTCCCGCGGGTCCTCGTGCCGCTCCGAGCTCCGGGGCTGTTCCCGGCTCCGGCTGCAGCGCACGGAGCTGCCTTTGCTCCTGTCCTCGTAGCTCGGCCTGCAGCTGCAATGGTGCAACTCCGGGTCACCCTCTTGGTGCTGCGATGGTGCTGGGATCACCGGGCTGCCCCGAAGAAGCTTCCCCCAACCCATTCCCAGCCGGAACAGGACCCGAGCGGGGGTTTTGCTGCGGAAAGGGGCAGCTGCCGCGCGCGGGCCCTGCCCTCGGGCCCTCAGCCGTCCTGTCGAGACTCCCCGCTTCCCCCGCGGATAATTTGCAAGCAGCAATTTCCTCTGGTCCCTCCCCACGTGGCTCCTGCCGGGGATTTCTGCACAAAAAGGAGATGCCACCGACTCCGCCGACCCCTGAACTCGGCTGCCTCGGGGGGCAGAGGGCTGGGGCTGAGCCCAGAGAGGAGGGTTTGCAGCTGCCCCTGCGCCCTGCGGGGAGACATATGGGGGTGACAGTCAAAGAGATGGGAGAAAGGAGAGGAAACGCGCCCGGGCCTCCCCGCTCCCGGGAACTTTATGGCTCTGGAATATTAAGAGGCAGGAAAGTTAATTAATACCCAGAACAAAGCCAGGGCTGTTTGGCTTCTGGGTGAAGGAAGCAGTGGAGACAGGAAGGGAAAAAAATTGGTGTCTTCTTAAATAATCCGTTTTCTACGTTTTGTCGGCAGCTTAAATAGAGATGAAGCAGCTTGGGGGACAATATTGGGAGACCAGAGGAAGAGACTTGGTGACAAAGAGCAGGGGAGTTTGCAGGGCGCTGGGGGAGCGGGAGAGGCAGCCAGGGCCAGCCGAGCGAGCGGGGCCTCGGCTGGGGCCCTGACACTGCTCCAAGAAGTCGCTATTTCCCTTTCTCAAAGCGACGCTTCTGCCCTGCTCCTTGTGTCTGTTCCTCAAGGGCCTCAGTTGGGGTTATTGCAGGGGGGACGTTTAATTGCAGCTCCCAAATAAACGCGCAGACCTTCCCCCTCCTCCGTGCGAGGCTCCGGGGCCTCCCGCTTGCCCGAGGCGCCAGGATGGGACGGTGCAGCCTTCTCCTTGCTTCCTGGCTCCAGGAATCGGGTGCAAAGAGATGAGTCCCATGCACTGAGCCACAGGGTCCCGTGGCCCATCCGGAGCTCTGAAAAGCAGCCTGGAGCAGCCCTCGGCTGTGCCCGTTGGCACCGCGGTCGCTCCGTGCGCTCGGGAGCTGCTGCAGCCGCCGCTGGCCGCCCTCCGGCACCACCCGAGGCCAAGACGTGTTTAAAATCAGCGTACGGATGCTACAAATCGGAGCGCACGAAGGGCCAGGCCGGATGGTGCCCAGTCCGTGTCTGTCCCGTCGTCTCCAATGGGACCAGCAGCTGCTGCGGGAAAGGCCAGAAGGCCCCAGGGTGACCCAGAGCCCCAGGGGACACCTGGGATCCTCGGAGGGGACTTGCTGGAGCCCCAGGAGAACACGTCGTGCTGCCCCTCGTGCCGTTGCAGCCAGCGGCCCCGGCTCTGCCCCGCACGGAGAACGTCCAGTCGCAGCCGCCGTCCGTCCGCGTGTCCGTCCGGCCCCTTGTTGGCATTTCTGGAGGTGGAGGCTGAGGATGGAGGACGCTGCCAGGGGATCCTTCCCCGGTGCCAGCGCGGCTTTAGCAGCGAGGTGGCTGGGGCTAATCAAGATCGACGTGCAAACAAAACAGCATCTCGGCGTCCCGGAGCCAGCAGAAAGGGAGAAGCAGATGGGCTGGAGGAGGCAGGGAGCTGCTGCTAAATGGATTGATGGAGAGGCCTTTAAGAGAGATGGATTGGAGAGGGAGCCGCTGGAGGAAAGGGCCGGGGCGGCCACGCTGCGAATGGGGCAGGGGCCCAGGGACATGATGGGAAGGGAGAAAGGGCTGCAGATAACAGATGGATGGACACAAAGACTGGAAGGGAAGAGAGGGACAGATGGACAGGCAATAGAGAGAGTCAGGAGAAGAGAGGGATCTGAACGTAATTAGATTGGATCCGATTATGACAGACTCGATTAGAGCAATATTATGATCAGGAGCTTCTGTCGCTATTTGGCTTTTAGGGGGGAACAAAGCCAGGGAGCACGTGTGGAAGGGGACGAGCGGCGGCGACGGGGACCGGGCGGGATGAAAGGAGAGGGGCTCCTTGTGAAAGCTGTCAGGGTGGTGGTGACAGATTGTCTGGTTATCGAGCACCGGGGCCGTCTGTCAGCGCCCGTTCACAAAACCTGCACTCAATAAAAGCCGGCGAGACAAAGACGAGGAGCGGAGAGGGGCTCTGGGCGAGCGCGGGGGCCGGGGGAGCTGCTGCTCCGCGCTGCCTGCGCGCGGGGACCGCAGGTGCGCGCAGGAGCACGCGTGTGCATGCGCGGACGTGTGCATGCATGTGTGCATGCGCTCACGTGTGCGTGTGCGCACATGTGCATGCACTCACATGTGCATGTGCTCA